CGTTTCAATATTGTTCAAATCAGAATTCTTGGGGTAGGTTGGGGACACAATGTGGGATCAATTTTTACATTAAAATTCATATTAAAATATCTATTAAAATATCTGGAGAACACCAAATCCATGAGTAGTAATTTTTGTATATGGAACTGATGGAAGTATCCTCAGGTGGGTTAGATTCAGATTTGTTCAAATTATGTACCCGGGGTTAGGATGTGGCCACAATCTTTAGAACTGAAAAGTTTTGTTCAGTCAAATTGGCATGTAAAAATCTGCATGTAGAAATTCATTCAAATAATGTGCTCTCTCTTTCTCCCTCTCTGTCTGTCTCTTTCTGTGTGTGTGTGTGTGTGTGAGTGAGTGGGAGACGGTGAGTGTGTGTGTGTGTGTGTGTGTGTGTGTGTGTGTGTAGAGAGAGAGAGAGAGAGTATAAAATATTATCTCATGCGAGAGTTAATAAAATTCGCACCAGCCATGCGCGCAATAACTAGAAAAACCAGTCAAATACACCCATATACATCTCATACTCACCATATGACATCAGAGGTCATGAACGTACAAACTATGAATAAATGAATGAATGAAATGACGCATGCGCAAATAAACAATCGAAATAAATCGTAAATAATAATCCTGTGATATATATATATGTGATTTTCAGGCGCAAAATAGTGTAAATTTCCTCTTTACTTATTTGACATTTCTTCATTTTTTGGCAAGGTTTGTTGACAGAAGGTGTAAAACTTGTTCCAAAAATATAACTTAAGATCCATATTAAATATTTATAGCAATATCATAATGGAAAATATTCTCCGAGTAAAAGTATATGAGGTTAAGGTTCAAAGATATTAGATATTATAAATGTGTAGATTTGCAGAATCATCTGCTAAATATCCTTCCACCTAAGAAATAGTCCCTAATTAATCTTGCTTTTTTGTAGCTTTTTGAGCAGTTTTTCATTGAATGTTAACACATTAACACTGTTGAAATCAAATACGTTATAAAAATTGATTTTTAGTGAATAGTTTTGAAGTAAGAGGTTCTGCGTGAATTTTTCTAAAAAGCTGACGAGTGGCATACCTTAAGGTAGGATTCTTCTCTGGTTTCTGACTAGATGAAACATTCAAAGTACTTTTGCTTAATTATATGACTTTTATATTGAGGTGTAAAGGATTTAAAAGACCATATTTTTCTTTCCTCGTTACAATTGTACATCTTTGAATAGAAATGGTAAACTGCGTTTGAAAACTAGCAGGGACTATATTTTTGGCAGAATTGTGGCGTATGAAAATTTCTTCTTTTCTGCCCCTCAAAATTATAATAGAACATTGAATTTAGTTATGATTTTACACAATCGAAGACTTGGAGAAATTTTCAAATGTAAGTTTAATTAATAATGATCATGAGGGACTTCACTTTCAAAATATATCAAATAAATATGATTTTTCAAACAAACTAGAACTTTGTTAGCTTTTAAAAGCTTTCTATCAAAGTGAAGATTTGAGCCCAAAATCTATAAAAAGTATTTTTTCTCTTTTAGTAAATGATCAAAACATTTGTTTTTGTATCATTTTGTAAATTTAAAAGACTACTTTATTATATGCGAAAATAAGAAAAAGTTAAATATAGGAAGCATCAGATTCTGAAAATAACTAATATATCTTAAAAAGTTAAGAAAAACAGAGAAAATTCGGATTAGCCAATATCCAGTTTAGTTAAATTATTTATGTTAATTTGGTAATATCATGCTATTTCCAATATAGATATATGTTATTATGCAAAAAGAACAATCTTTAAACTTGTGAAATAGAAGTAGGTATCACATGATTGGCAACTGTATTTTTTTATTCTTGATGTCAAGGAAAAACGTGACATTGCCTCTCATATAAAACGGTCAAATTTAATTTCACTGATACCATCACTTACCGATATTGTACTCTTGATTCGGTAAGAATTTCATTAATTTTTAAATATTAGAAATATGAGAAGAATCTTACCTTAAGCGTCCGTACTTTTGATCTTGAATATTGTTCGTTATATCTATATGTTTTAAACTTCTGATATTTTATTTGCAGGGACAGAACCACGAACAGCACCTTCTCGTAAATTAGATCATAAAAAGATATATGACCAATTGCCATTGAAGATCTTAGGTCCGTTCTTCATTTTAGTACTACTTATCTACTTCGGTAAGTTTAAATATAATGTAGGTAAGAATCAAAGAAAAGTCTTTTATCCAGCTTTAAAATGTAAATTATGGTAAATCAAACCTCTATTAAAAACTGTTGTTTGGTTAAAGAGTAGTATATTTCTCACACAAAGTCATTTTACTGATAAGTTATTTAACAGCTATTGATTTAAAAGAAACTAGTTTTAATTGTAACGGGGACCGTTACAGATGTTCCCCAAACGCTCCCCAAATCCCTTTTGTGCTATTTTCCCTGTAAGACTTTTTTAAAAATATGCTCAGTATCAAAGGATATCATCATAGAATTATAAAAACTACAATGATATCAACTATGTCTCATTTAACGTATTGCACGCGCACACACATGCATGCACATGCAGGATGATCATGGCATGTTGTTTAAACAATTAACATATCTTTATATCGTGAGAATTTATAAAAATATGATAAAAAATATAAATGGTACCTATTTTTCAAATATATCGGTGATTTATGTACTGCGCGTGCGCACGTGCATGCATGTCCTTGCTTTCAAATTCGAAGTATCATAATGTAGGAATACATCATACTTATTCATATTTTGAATTTCATCCCGTTTCGTTGGGAACTTAGAAAGTTATAGACATTTAAAGTTTAAGCCAATCAGATTGCATCAAACGTGCATGCGTGTGTTTTGATGATAATTCTTAAATATTATGCTGTAGATCTTTATATTGTATGAATATGTTCAAAATTATAAAGGATTTTGTCAAAAAACAAGAAAGATATTAAGACTTTAGTTTCAGCCAATCAGAGCAAAGCGCACGTGCATGCGCGTGAGATCTTGCTTTTTTGACCATGTCATCATGTCTATACTAGTACTACTAATATATTCTCACATTAAGAGTTTCAAAGCCTTTCATCAAAAAATTAAAAAGATATGGCTATATCTATTATATTGGACATTTCACGTGAAGCACGTGCATGCTCTTGCAAGCACGTGTGCGCAAAATGACCTTGATTCCGCAAATCTACATAACATGTCCACTGACCCTAAAAAGGTTTTACATACATCGGATAAACAGTTTACAAGTCTTTAGATCACTCCCTGACAAAAAAGTACGCAGGAAGAAGAAGATAAAATAAAAGTAACTAGATTGAATTGTAACGACTGTGCCGATTTCCTATAATACCGTTTTAATACGCTCAGTATCGCAGGATTTCATAAAAAAATTATTTTAATACCTTCAATAATATAAACTTTTTGTAATTTAATGCATTGCATGCAAACGCACGTGCATGCACATGCAAGCATTAAGGTTATCATGGCCTGTTTTCTAAACTATTTCCATATCTTTATATTCCAAGAATCAATAAAAAATCAATAAAATATAAATGTTACCGTTTTTTCCAATATATTGTTCATTTTACGCATTGCACGTGCGCAGGTCCATGCAAGCACGTTCTTGCATTCAATTTTGATAGTAGTATCATGTGGGAATCCATTATACCTATTTGTATTCTAAATTTCACCTGTTTTGTTGAGAAACAAGGAAATCATAGGCATTTAAAGTTTCAGCCAATCAGATTGCAGAACACTAGGATTTACGTGCTTTCAAGATAATTCTGATATAACTTGCTGTAGATCTTCATAATGAATGACTGTGTTCAAAATGTTAAAGAATTATGACATAAAACAAGAAAGATATTGAGACTTTAGTTTCAGCCAATCAGAGCGGAGCGCACGTACATGCGCGTAAGATCTTGCTATTTTGAATTTGTCATCTTGTCTATACTACTAATATATCCATACATTATGAATTTCAAAAAATTTCATCAAGAAATAGAAAAGTTACGGCAATATCCATTATATTGGTAATTTCACATTTTGCACGTGTGTGCTCTTGCCAGCACACGTGCACGTACGTGCTTTCATTAAAATTCTTATATATCATGCTGTAGATCTTCAAAATGTGTAACTAAGTTCAAAATTTCGAAGAATTATGACTTAAAACAAAAGAGATATCGAGACTTTAGTTTCAGGCAATCAGAACAAAGTGCACGTGCATATGCGTGAGATCTTGCTATTTTGACCATGTCAACTTGTCTATACTTCTAATATATTCTTACATTATGAGTTTCAAAACATTTCGTCAAAAAATAGAAAAGTTATGGTTATATACATTATATTGGACATTTCACGTGTTGCACGTGCGCGCTCTTGCAAGCACGTGCGCGCAAAATGACCTTCTGACCCTAAAAAGGTTTCACCTTAGTCGGATGTGTAGTTTACAAGATCACTCGCGGAAAATATTTTCCCAGGAAGAAGAAAAATAATAAATAGTGCTAATTGTAATAGGAACCGTTACAGATGTTCCCCAACTCCCTTTTGGTGCCACATTCTCTGTAACCCTCATTAAGGTAAAGATCCATACCACGTAAAATAACGTTATGTGACGTTATTCTCGTTTGTAACGTTATTACGTCAAACGCGCCCGACGCTTATTCTATCAAAAATGCCTGACGTCGATTTCACTTACCGTAAAAAAAGGTACATTAATTTCCAAATAAAAGGCATAAATATACGATGTTCAGTTATTTTCCGGGATGCATGATCGAAGGAGAGTTTAAATTTAGATGATTCGTCAAACCGAAAGTACAACAAAGACGGCATGGAAGGACAAACACCACCAAATGTTTTCCCATAGACTTCCATACAAACTTTAGCCCCTCTCACTGATACATGTATTGAATTTCGGGCAAATGACCTTTTTGTCGTGAAAGTTCGAGATATTGGAAAACAAAAAATGCCAGAAAAAATATACCGTACCGTTGCACTTTTACTTTCAATTTCCATTTGTTTACAACTAGGTGCGTTTGACACCAAATGAAAATCTCTAACCAAAGTGCATCCCTCCCTTCAAATTTTTACCTGTAATTCCTATATACCTCAAAGAAACCCAAGTCTTGATATGAGATTTTTATCAACTTTATTTCACTTGTCAAATACATAACAAGTCTTTTCTCTTATTGACCAATCACGCGCCAGCTAGTATTTTCTCCTCCGCACAACCTTGGGTGTCCAAAATGTCTGCGCCCATGTATTTGTTTATGTAGGGGTTTTTCCTATAGAGTAAAAGAAACATTTATAAAAAGTGTTCAATTTAGTAAATTTAGAACACATATCCATTGCTTATCTCACCTCTTGAATATTGGGACTGACAGTCTTAGCTTAAGTACACCATTGGCTGTTACATTTCACACCCCAGTCAATCAGACGAACATCTGTGAAACAGAAAAGATGTCTATAAATTGAAGCATTTTTCTATTTTTCTTTCAAACTTTTAAAATAAAATGATTAATCTAGCATTTGTTTTGCTTGTTTTTCTTATTATATCTAATAATTTCTCAAGGTAGATCATGTTAATCATTCAGGGTAGCAGGTACCCGTTATTAATGAAAAATGAAGAAAATCAGCAGGTTTTTGTAAGAAAAAGCTGGGTTATGGAAAGAGTGAAAACTAATGTAGATAAAATAATCAATGGAAAGAAAGAGAATTATATCTAGTTCAAATGTACATAAGATTAAAACAAATTCTATCAGCAGTGGGTTGCTGGCATCAGAGAATCAAATACATCCCCACTGAAAATTTTGTAATTTTGAAGGGGGGTGACCTACATTTTAGCCAATTTTCATGAACATTTCATGTAATTGATGTTAAATATGTATATTCTCATAAAAGGCAAATATATCTATTTGCATATCATTTCTTATTATTGACATAATTAATAAATTGATTAAATGCCAAGGGCAGACAAATCATATTGTCTGACTGAATACAGTGCTCCATTGTACGCAAAGTATTTAATTAACTGCAGTTCTGAGGAAATTTATTTTATGATAATCTATAAAAAGTTTTAAATAACTTAAATATTGAGAGATTAACTAGATTTTCTAAGAAAACCATACCTTGGAACTCTAAATGAAAGCAAAGGGATCATCCCGAGAGTGTCAATGTGTTGTTCATTGTAAGAGGGTAGGGTTCATTAATCTCTTCCTTCTTGATAATGCATTGCTGAAATACATTTTATTTTTTTTAAAACATACTGATAAATGCATCTAGTAGCTTATATAATAATTCTTTATTATTTACACCATCTTTTGAATTTTTTCAAAGCATTTGTGATGTAATACCTTTAAAATAATCATGTTAAAATAGAATTTACTCAGATAATTAGTTTTAAAAATATCAAAGAAATTGAAAAAAAATACATGCACATAAACATGACTCTTGTTATTCAAATAAACCAAATTTAAACAAAATTCCTTCATTTTTCAGCATGATTAGAGCACAAAATCACCCCCCCCCCCTTTTCAGCAGAATATCAAGATTGGATATGGCAAGGAGGAGGGATATTCAGACACCTTTTTCATAATTTTTTTCAGTTATAACTTTGCATATTTATTGCATTTTCAATGTATTTTCTGCAAAAATATATTGTACTGTAATTTCAATTAAATTTCCTACAAGTAATCTCTAAGTTTCACAAAAAATATAACTTTTATTTCAAGCCAGCACTGATTACATGACTGAAACTGGCTTTTCTGCTGGATTATGCCCCTTATGTAAAAACAAAGTAACCCAATTAGTTAACAGCAGTCAAATTTTGTTATAAATTATTCAATCAACTCTGATTAACACAAATTTGAAAGAGGATTACTCAATCTGTTCCAATGTCTACACTCATAAAATACGTGGATTTAAATGAATTTCTCAAACTGCGAGGGGGATATTCATATGTTTTGTGTATTGATGATGCCCATAAATATTGATATTGTATTATTTACAATATTCACAGTAAATTTCGGTATAAATATCTATTTAAAATTATTTACATGAACATTTATTGAAAATATGGGAGCTAGGGCAAAAAATTTGGCATTTTTTCACTATGTGCAGTCCCCATTGTGAGCCTCAATTTACCCAATCCCTCTAATTTTTAAACAAATAGTCAAAACTCACTAAAATATAATCCCAATGCCAAAAAAATAGGAGCTGATTCATTTTTTGGCTGTAATCAATTTTTATCCATGAAATTATACTTATTCTATAGGACAAACACCACCAAATGTTTTCCCATAGACTTCCATACAAACTTTAGCCCCTCTCACTGATACATGTATTGAATTTCGGGCAAATGACCTTTTTGTCGTGAAAGTTAGAGATATTGGAAAACAAAAAAATGCCAGAAAAAATATACCGTGCCGTTGCACTTTTACTTTCAATTTCCATTTGTTTACAACTAGGTGCGTTTGACACCAAATGAAAATCTCTAACCAAAGTGCATCCCTCCCTTCAAATTTTTACCTGTAATTCCTATATACCTCAAAGAAACCCAAGTCTTGATATGAGATTTTTATCAACTTTATTTCACTTGTCAAATACATAACAAGTCTTTTCTCTTATTGACCAATCACGCGCCAGCTAGTATTTTCTCCTCCGCACAACCTTGGGTGTCCAAAATGTCTGCGCCCATGTATTTGTTTATGTAGGGGTTTTTCCTATAGAGTAAAAGAAACATTTATAAAAAGTGTTCAATTTAGTAAATTTAGAACACATATCCATTGCTTATCTCACCTCTTGAATATTGGGACTGACAGTCTTAGCTTAAGTACACCATTGGCTGTTACATTTCACACCCCAGTCAATCAGACCAACATCTGTGAAACAGAAAAGATGTCTATAAATTGAAGCATTTTTCTATTTTTCTTTCAAACTTTTAAAATAAAATGATTAATCTAGCATTTGTTTTGCTTGTTTTTCTTATTATATCTAATAATTTCTCAAGGTAGATCATGTTAATCATTCAGGGTAGCAGGTACCCGTTATTAATGAAAAATGAAGAAAATCAGCAGGTTTTTGTAAGAAAAAGCTGGGTTATGGAAAGAGTGAAAACTAATGTAGATAAAATAATCAATGGAAAGAAAGAGAATTATATCTAGTTCAAATGTACATAAGATTAAAACAAATTCTATCAGCAGTGGGTTGCTGGCATCAGAGAATCAAATACATCCCCACTGAAAATTTTGTAATTTTGAAGGGGGGTGACCTACATTTTAGCCAATTTTCATGAACATTTCATGTAATTGATGTTAAATATGTATATTCTCATAAAAGGCAAATATATCTATTTGCATATCATTTCTTATTATTGACATAATTAATAAATTGATTAAATGCCAAGGGCAGACAAATCATATTGTCTGACTGAATACAGTGCTCCATTGTACGCAAAGTATTTAATTAACTGCAGTTCTGAGGAAATTTATTTTATGATAATCTATAAAAAGTTTTAAATAACTTAAATATTGAGAGATTAACTAGATTTTCTAAGAAAACCATACCTTGGAACTCTAAATGAAAGCAAAGGGATCATCCCGAGAGTGTCAATGTGTTGTTCATTGTAAGAGGGTAGGGTTCATTAATCTCTTCCTTCTTGATAATGCATTGCTGAAATACATTTTATTTTTTTTAAAACATACTGATAAATGCATCTAGTAGCTTATATAATAATTCTTTATTATTTACACCATCTTTTGAATTTTTTCAAAGCATTTGTGATGTAATACCTTTAAAATAATCATGTTAAAATAGAATTTACTCAGATAATTAGTTTTAAAAATATCAAAGAAATTGAAAAAAAATACATGCACATAAACATGACTCTTGTTATTCAAATAAACCAAATTTAAACAAAATTCCTTCATTTTTCAGCATGATTAGAGCACAAAATCACCCCCCCCCTTTTCAGCAGAATATCAAGATTGGATATGGCAAGGAGGAGGGATATTCAGACACCTTTTTCATAATTTTTTTCAGTTATAACTTTGCATATTTATTGCATTTTCAATGTATTTTCTGCAAAAATATATTGTACTGTAATTTCAATTAAATTTCCTACAAGTAATCTCTAAGTTTCACAAAAAATATAACTTTTATTTCAAGCCAGCACTGATTACATGACTGAAACTGGCTTTTCTGCTGGATTATGCCCCTTATGTAAAAACAAAGTAACCCAATTAGTTAACAGCAGTCAAATTTTGTTATAAATTATTCAATCAACTCTGATTAACACAAATTTGAAAGAGGATTACTCAATCTGTTCCAATGTCTACACTCATAAAATACGTGGATTTAAATGAATTTCTCAAACTGCGAGGGGGATATTCATATGTTTTGTGTATTGATGATGCCCATAAATATTGATATTGTATTATTTACAATATTCACAGTAAATTTCGGTATAAATATCTATTTAAAATTATTTACATGAACATTTATTGAAAATATGGGAGCTAGGGCAAAAAATTTGGCATTTTTTCACTATGTGCAGTCCCCATTGTGAGCCTCAATTTACCCAATCCCTCTAATTTTTAAACAAATAGTCAAAACTCACTAAAATATAATCCCAATGCCAAAAAAATAGGAGCTGATTCATTTTTTGGCTGTAATCAATTTTTATCCATGAAATTATACTTATTCTATAGGACAAACACCACCAAATGTTTTCCCATAGACTTCCATACAAACTTTAGCCCCTCTCACTGATACATGTATTGAATTTCGGGCAAATGACCTTTTTGTCGTGAAAGTTAGAGATATTGGAAAACAAAAAAATGCCAGAAAAAATATACCGTGCCGTTGCACTTTTACTTTCAATTTCCATTTGTTTACAACTAGGTGCGTTTGACACCAAATGAAAATCTCTAACCAAAGTGCATCCCTCCCTTCAAATTTTTACCTGTAATTCCTATATACCTCAAAGAAACCCAAGTCTTGATATGAGATTTTTATCAACTTTATTTCACTTGTCAAATACATAACAAGTCTTTTCTCTTATTGACCAATCACGCGCCAGCTAGTATTTTCTCCTCCGCACAACCTTGGGTGTCCAAAATGTCTGCGCCCATGTATTTGTTTATGTAGGGGTTTTTCCTATAGAGTAAAAGAAACATTTATAAAAAGTGTTCAATTTAGTAAATTTAGAACACATATCCATTGCTTATCTCACCTCTTGAATATTGGGACTGACAGTCTTAGCTTAAGTACACCATTGGCTGTTACATTTCACACCCCAGTCAATCAGACGAACATCTGTGAAACAGAAAAGATGTCTATAAATTGAAGCATTTTTCTATTTTTCTTTCAAACTTTTAAAATAAAATGATTAATCTAGCATTTGTTTTGCTTGTTTTTCTTATTATATCTAATAATTTCTCAAGGTAGATCATGTTAATCATTCAGGGTAGCAGGTACCCGTTATTAATGAAAAATGAAGAAAATCAGCAGGTTTTTGTAAGAAAAAGCTGGGTTATGGAAAGAGTGAAAACTAATGTAGATAAAATAATCAATGGAAAGAAAGAGAATTATATCTAGTTCAAATGTACATAAGATTAAAACAAATTCTATCAGCAGTGGGTTGATGGCATCAGAGAATCAAATACATCCCCACTGAAAATTTTGTAATTTTGAAGGGGGGTGACCTACATTTTAGCCAATTTTCATGAACATTTCATGTAATTGATGTTAAATATGTATATTCTCATAAAAGGCAAATATATCTATTTGCATATCATTTCTTATTATTGACATAATTAATAAATTGATTAAATGCCAAGGGCAGACAAATCATATTGTCTGACTGAATACAGTGCTCCATTGTACGCAAAGTATTTAATTAACTGCAGTTCTGAGGAAATTTATTTTATGATAATCTATAAAAAGTTTTAAATAACTTAAATATTGAGAGATTAACTAGATTTTCTAAGAAAACCATACCTTGGAACTCTAAATGAAAGCAAAGGGATCATCCCGAGAGTGTCAATGTGTTGTTCATTGTAAGAGGGTAGGGTTCATTAATCTCTTCCTTCTTGATAATGCATTGCTGAAATACATTTTATTTTTTTTAAAACATACTGATAAATGCATCTAGTAGCTTATATAATAATTCTTTATTATTTACACCATCTTTTGAATTTTTTCAAAGCATTTGTGATGTAATACCTTTAAAATAATCATGTTAAAATAGAATTTACTCAGATAATTAGTTTTAAAAATATCAAAGAAATTGAAAAAAAATACATGCACATAAACATGACTCTTGTTATTCAAATAAACCAAATTTAAACAAAATTCCTTCATTTTTCAGCATGATTAGAGCACAAAATCACCCCCCCCCTTTTCAGCAGAATATCAAGATTGGATATGGCAAGGAGGAGGGATATTCAGACACCTTTTTCATAATTTTTTTCAGTTATAACTTTGCATATTTATTGCATTTTCAATGTATTTTCTGCAAAAATATATTGTACTGTAATTTCAATTAAATTTCCTACAAGTAATCTCTAAGTTTCACAAAAAATATAACTTTTATTTCAAGCCAGCACTGATTACATGACTGAAACTGGCTTTTCTGCTGGATTATGCCCCTTATGTAAAAACAAAGTAACCCAATTAGTTAACAGCAGTCAAATTTTGTTATAAATTATTCAATCAACTCTGATTAACACAAATTTGAAAGAGGATTACTCAATCTGTTCCAATGTCTACACTCATAAAATACGTGGATTTAAATGAATTTCTCAAACTGCGAGGGGGATATTCATATGTTTTGTGTATTGATGATGCCCATAAATATTGATATTGTATTATTTACAATATTCACAGTAAATTTCGGTATAAATATCTATTTAAAATTATTTACATGAACATTTATTGAAAATATGGGAGCTAGGGCAAAAAATTTGGCATTTTTTCACTATGTGCAGTCCCCATTGTGAGCCTCAATTTACCCAATCCCTCTAATTTTTAAACAAATAGTCAAAACTCACTAAAATATAATCCCAATGCCAAAAAAATAGGAGCTGATTCATTTTTTGGCTGTAATCAATTTTTATCCATGAAATTATACTTATTCTATAGGACAAACACCACCAAATGTTTTCCCATAGACTTCCATACAAACTTTAGCCCCTCTCACTGATACATGTATTGAATTTCGGGCAAATGACCTTTTTGTCGTGAAAGTTAGAGATATTGGAAAACAAAAAAATGCCAGAAAAAATATACCGTGCCGTTGCACTTTTACTTTCAATTTCCATTTGTTTACAACTAGGTGCGTTTGACACCAAATGAAAATCTCTAACCAAAGTGCATCCCTCCCTTCAAATTTTTACCTGTAATTCCTATATACCTCAAAGAAACCCAAGTCTTGATATGAGATTTTTATCAACTTTATTTCACTTGTCAAATACATAACAAGTCTTTTCTCTTATTGACCAATCACGCGCCAGCTAGTATTTTCTCCTCCGCACAACCTTGGGTGTCCAAAATGTCTGCGCCCATGTATTTGTTTATGTAGGGGTTTTTCCGGAAGATTCATTGTCTCGAGTACAAGATAACTAAAAGACTTCGACAATCGGGTCGTTTTTTGTCTCTGTAAGTTGAAGAAATACAGAGTAACAAATAAATGGTTCTCTTGTCGAAAGTCATTATCGTTTGCTTACATGTTTGTACATAGGCCTAGTACATAACCATTTTCGAACCACGTACGGCTCAAGTATTCAGGTACCTAACTACTTTGCTTCAATATTCCGATTTTTAAAAGTCGTTTTTCTCTTCTCATTGTTTGAATTAAAATATCGTCCTCTGGGGATTGACTCGGGATTTTGAAAAAAAAATTGGAAAACTTTTTTTTACAATGTATATATCATACATAAAATAGTTACTGCACAAATATAAATGTTCTGTTATTTGGTATATCCTTGCACTGAAACATAAAATAATTACATGTATTGATAAAAAAAAACAAACTGAATATTTCATTTAAGTAGGAAAGGACATTGATACATTGCCAAAAAAAATTTATCCTTTTCCTTATTCCTTTTTATATCACCCTCTATGATCTCATAGGCATTCCTATTTATCATCTTATACATATATATCCTTCTTTGTTACTGTCATATATTATTTGTGGGTTTAAGTCTAACCATCATTACAGTAATCATGGTAATGCATAAAATTGTGATCTAGAAAAGTACACTGGGGATCCTTATTATCTTATTAGCTACTGATATCTATCGCTATACTATTCATGGGTGCTTGAAGACGGAAATATCCCCTTCCCCATCCGATATAGACCCCTGGGTCTGTGCGACGTATGATTTTTCTAATTTATTATACATATTGTATATACCATAGATGACAAATATGTAATTTTATCATCAATTTGGAAATTGGCTTTAGCAAACATATTATAACAAGAGGCCCAAAAGGTTCGCAAATGGTTATGTACTACGTACAAGCATATACCCGGTAAGCAAACGATAATGATTTCGACAAGAGAACCATTTATTTGTTACTCTGTATTTTTTCAACTTCCAGAGATTCGAACCCAGGACACCTGTCAGTCTTATGACAGGTGCACCAATACACTACCCAAAGCACTACAAATGGTAGCTAAAGGTTATTGTGCACTAGCTTTAAAACAAATTTTTCTAAATTTTCAGCATATGTGTGTATTAAGGAATTTTTTTTTGGCAATGTATCAATAAACTACAGCTTACTAAAAGTCCAAGGATGGCAGAGAATAATTGTACTGCTAGGTTAAGTATGTACATTTAATAACTCTGCAATGTCCATGGGAACACACACACTCACCACTAGATCTGCCACGAAAATTTCAATCTGAGTTGTTGTCAGTAAATTCACCCATGCATGTAAAGTACACAAATAGAAACAAATCCATAGAAAAAACGTGTCTTGTGAGGAGACGTTACTTTATGCTTTCTTTTTGATACCAGATTGTTTTTCATGCACGAGTAGACACAATGACAATTTCAGGGATTAATATAGGTTTTGGGGGAAACTACCCTTTCTGGAGAAATTGGGAAAATCAGCCGAGGTCTGGGAACCACTCGAGCAGGTGAAGGGCAAGCCCTGCCTATGGGCCAATTGAATTTCAGCATTTTTATGACCATTTAAAGTGCATAAAGTAGCAAAGTAAAACCATATTTCTCGTATACTGAAACATTCTACTTTGAATTTTCAAGTTTTTATGAAGGGGAAAAAATTGAAGTTTTTATTATTGTGAGGGGAATATTTTACTCATCAAAAGGGGAAAATTAGATCTTATGGGGAAATTTTCTTTAGGGGAAAAATACCGAATATCGGTAGTCAATTTGCCCTAGATTAATCCCTGTGTCAAAAACTCTGAACTCGACTTTCAGTTTTAAATTTTTAAAGAATTTTTTTGAATTTTCATTACATAAAATACCTTGATCAAGGTATTTTTGAATATCTTGATAAAGCTATACCTTTATCGGGGTATTTTGCTGGACCTGTTATGTACGGAAAACCTCGATCATTCAGTGTCCCTAGCTTAAGAAGGGGATCTCTGCCTTCAAGGATATGATCGCCTATAAGCACGGTGTTTATATTGTTTAAACAAACGAACATTACAAAGTGGAAACACTGGACATATTCATCACTGCGTACATTAATTTTATCTATTTGTGTATGGTATATGGATAAAAACATGATAAACAAAGTTGCACCTTACTTGTACAGACCCGAAGCATTTCCTGAGATCAGAAACCAGACGTTAAAAAGATGTGGCAAACAAACCACTAATTTGTATCTATGAATAGCGAAAAATGTATTACATAGACACAAAAAGTAGTAAAACATGCCACTTCTCTAAATTTTTAATCAAATAAATCGCATCCAAAAGACCAATGTAGAAACTGAAAGTATTTTCTTCTTTCACTTCCGTCATAACGTCACACATGCGCATGAACGGTTTATAGAATATTCCGAAGATTGAACCCGATTACTATTATGCTTGTGAATCGTGAAAACGAATTTTTGGACGTCAATGCATTAAATATTCAACTTATGATTTAAACCATACTTATTACTGTTCTATTATCGATAGTTTTAAATATTTAAAGCGATTTTTACACCCAAATCCTAAAAGTATAGATGTTAAAAAGATTTTTCAAATTATCATTTTTCAGCAAATTTGGTATAAAAATGTGAAAATTTCTTGTTTGATGCCCGCTGCCCCACTTAATTTTTATGCCATA